TTTTCATGTCTATTGGCCATTTGTATGTCCTCTTTGGAGAACTGTCTATTCAGGTCCTTTGCACTATTTTTTTAAATCCTCACCCGAAGATATTTTTGTGTTGTATCATCAGACAGAGTGGGAGGGAAGGAGAGAGAGAAATATCCATGTGAGAGAGACACATCTACTGGTTGCCTCTCGCTCGACCGGACCAGGACCAGGGAAGAACCACAACCAAGGTACGTGCCCTTGACTGGAATTGAACTTGTGACTCACTGGTCCATGGGCCAACACTCTAACCACTTAGCAAACTGGCCAGGGGGTTTGCCCTTTTTTAATTGGATTGTTTGTCTTCCTGTTGTTGAGATGTATAAGTTCTTCATATATTTAGAAATTAACCCCTTATCAGATGTATCACTGGTGCCAAAGCAATCTATAGATTCAATATAACCCCTATTAAAATATCAGTGGCATATTTTACAGATCTAGAAAAATATTCCCAAAATTTATATGAAATCAAAACAAACAAACAAACAAACAAAAAACCCCGAATAGCCTCAGCAATCTTGAGAAAGAAGAACAAAATAGGAGGGATCACAATACTGGATATCAAACTATACTACAAAGCCATTGTAATCAGAACAGCCAGGAACTGGCATGAGAACAGGCGTATAGATCAATGGAACAGAACAGAGACCCCTGAAATTGACCCACGCTTTTATGTCAATTAATATTTGACAATGGAGGCAAGAGCATACAGTGGAGTAAACACAGTCTATTCAATAAATGGTGTTGGGAAAATTCGACAGATACATGCAAAAAACACACGAAACTAGCCCTGGCCAATTTTGCTCAGTGGTTAGCGTTGGCTCACGAACCAGAGCTGCGGGTTTGATTCTGCTCAAGGGCATGTACCTCGGTTGCGGTTTCATCCTGTTCCTGGTTGGGGTCGTGCAGGAGGCAACCAGTTGAAGTGTCCCTCTCACGTCGATGTTTCTTTGCCCTCCCCCCTGCGCCCCACTCTGTCTGAAGATAAAAAAATAGGAAAAATATCCTTGGGTGAGGATTAAAAAAAGAAAAAATGAAACTAGACCATCAATTTACACCATACACAAGAATAAACTCAAAATAGATAAAAGACTTAAATGTAAGTGACAAAAATCATAAAAATCCTAGAAGAAAACACAGACAGTAAAATCTCAGACATCTCTTGTAGCAATATTTTTGCCAATATAGCTCCTTGGGCGAGAGAAACAAAGAAAATATAAGTGGGACTGCATCAAACTAAACAGCTTCTGCACAGCAAAATAAATCATCCACAAAATGAAAAAGGAACCTATTGTATGGGAGATCATTACTTTTTTTAAAAAAATGTTTTTTGTTGATTTCAGAAAGAGGAAGAGAGAGGGGGAAAGGGAGGGAGAGCAAGAGAGAAACATTGATATGAGAAACATTGGTATGAGAGAGAAATATCAATTGGTTGTCTCCTGAGGGTGCCCTGACCGGTGATGGAACCTGCTAGGTATGTGCTCTGACCAGGAATCGAACCCTCGGCCCTTTGATGTATGGGACTATGGTCCAATCAGCAGAGCCACCCAGCCAGGGCTTGTTACTTTCTGTTGTTTTAATTTGGAAACGCAACTGCTTCCTTAGAGCTCTTACTAAGATCACACATGCGATAGGTTCACTAGGACTGGAGCAAATGCCCCTTTGGAGCCGGGCTGCCCATGAGCCACCCCCAGCCACACGTGGCTCTTGACCACGCACGAGGCAGTGGCTCTGAAATGAGATGCGCTCTAAGCGTGAAATCCACGCTAAGTGTCTAAGACTCAGTATTAAAAAAGAATGTAAAATATTAACACATTACAAAATTGATCACGTGTTGAAATGACAATATTTCAGCTAGATTACTTAGACAAACGTACTATTAAAATTAATTTTACCTATTTCTTTTGACTTTTTTATTTTATTTATTTTTCTTTATTGACTTTAGAGAGAGAGGAAGGGAGAGGGAGAGAGAGAGAGAGAAGCATCAATGAGGGAGAATATCGATCGGCCGCCTCCTGCACGCCCCCCACTGGGGATCAGCCCACAACCTGGGCATGTGTCCTGACCGGGAATCGAACCGGCGACCTCTTGGTGCAGGGTCGATGCTCAACCACTGAACAACACCGGCTGGGCTTACCTTTTTAATGTGGCAACTAGAAAATGTAAAAGTACATACATATTTGGCTTGAAACACAATTCTACTGTCAGTGCTGCTGTAGGGAGCTTTACTAGATGCATTTTCCATGGTTGTACAAGTAGCCTAAAGACTATATTAAAAACTCCAGTCCGACCAGTGTGGCTCAGTGGCTGAGTGTCGACCCTGCACCAAGAGGTCACCGGTTCGATTCCCGGTCAGGACACATGCTCAGGTTGTGGGCCTGATCCCCAGTGGAGGGCGTGCAGGAGGCGGCCAATCGATGTTCTCTCTCATCGATGTTTCTCTCTCTCTCTGCCTCCATTTCCTCTCTGTAAAATCAATAAAGGAAAAAAAAAAAAACTCCATTTGGTTGGAACGCCCCAAACGAACCCTCCAGTTTTTCTCTATTCTGACCCACCTTCTCAAGCCTTTCTCATTTTTCCTTTTGTTTAAAGGCTCAGAGAAAGGGGGGAGGTTTTCCTTTTTGAGTTAGAAGCAGGCACACGCCCTGCATTCGAAGGCAATGGGGTTATAAGAACAACCTAAAGTGAACGGCACTGTCTGCAGGCACTGTTAGCAGAACACGGCGCTCTAGACACCTGGACAAGCTCCAGTCCCGGGGAAACACGCAACTTTAACTCCTTTCCCTGTAGGCCCTACCCTGAGAACGGCCTCTTTGCACTTGGGTGGGAGCATGCTCTTCGTCATGGCGAGCTGGGGGGAGCTTTGCTTCTCTTACTGCAGACCTGTCCTCCGAGGCCACTTTTACATGCTAGACAGTGATCATTTCTGCTGTAGCACACTGACATGAGTGTACGCTGGAGGGTCAGAGGGATCTAAGTTTGATGCTGCCTTGTGCCAGTTACTTTACTGCTAGAAAGTCACCTGCTCATCTGTAAAATAGAGATAATAGAATAATTCTTCCTCTTCTGATGGGGGATCACCCTGCCTCTGCTCCTAGCCATTCTCCACTCTCATGTTTTCTTCTTTATTGATGTTAGAGAGAGAGGAAGGGAGAGGGAGAGAGAGATAGAAACATCGATGAGAGAGAACATCGATTGGCTGCTTGCCCCCCTGGGGATCGGGCCCACAACCTGGGCATGTGCCCTGGCCAGGAATTGAACTGGCAACCTCTTGGTGCAGGGTCGACGCTCAACCACTGAGCCACACCAGCTGGGCTACTCTCATTTTTTGAAATCTGCTCTGCAAATATTATGTCTCTGCCTTTTGCCAAAGAAATTGCATTCCTCACTTCAAATCTCGTGAAAAGAGCTTTGGAAAGACAACTGGCCTGGGCATTGGACATTTTCTCACTACCCAGACTGGAGAACGTTCAGGTGGTTTGCAGAATGCATCTCTGGTGGGCAAGGAGATTAAGCTGGTGAGAAACCTTGCATCAGCTCATGTACAGACAGAGGACATCTGTGTGTTTCCTGCAGACCAAACATAGGGACAGAAACCCAGCCATGAGCCATCTTTTTAAAAAACATATTTATATGTTATTGATTTTGAGAGAGAGAAGAAGGGAGAGAAACATTGATGTGAGAGCAAAACAGTGGTCAGCCGCCTCCTACACTCTGCCTACTAGGAACTAAGCCCATAATTGGGTCATGTGCCCTGACCAAGAATTGAACCTGCAACTTTTCTGTTCATGGGACAATGCTCAAGCAACTGAGCCACACTGGCCAGGGCCAGCCATGAATCATCGTAAAGATACTTTGCCCAAGAGCACAAAAGGGGTCTTAACTCTGGGGAAACTCCTTGCAGAATCCTGAAGACCAGGGCTTGCAGGAGCATAATCAGCTGGAGAAATTACTGAGTGGTTTTTGAGAAGCCCTTGGAGATGACGCAAGGAAAAGGGTCAACTTTCAAACACTTGTCAACTCACAAAAGCAGCCCTGGAGAGCCAGCTTCCTATTTGGAGGGCACAGTCCCACATGCTGAAAGTGGTTTACAATCCCTCCTTTTCCAGCCACATAGCAACCCCTTCCCTCAGGTGTCTGACCTCGGCCCTTCCTGCTAGGCTGGGGTCTGGGGGGGCCTGTGGTTTTCTCTGAGGAATCAAACCATTACAGCCTGGGGAGGGGGCCGTCCTTAGCCTGGTAAAGATCAGATGCCCCTTATAAGGTCAGTAGCAAATGAGACTCACATTTTTCAACAAGAATCTGTACTTATCAGTTGTCTTAACCAGCACCGTGATGGGGAATTGAAGTTCCGTAGGGAGCATGGTGGCTTCCATGTCAAGCCCACCACGTGAACTGGCTTTAGTCAGCTTAAAGATGAACTCAGGCCCGGCTGCTGTGGCTCAGTGGTTGAGCGTTGACCCTGTACCAGGAAGTCGTTGGTTCGATTCCCGGTCAGGGCACATGCCCAGGTTGTGGGCCCAATCCCCAGTGGTGGGCGTGCAGGAGGCAGCCAATCGATGTTCTCTCTCATGGATGTTTCTCTCTCTCCATCTTCCTTCCTCTCTGGAAAAAAAAAACAAAAACAACCAATAAAGGAAAAACAAAGGAAAGATGAACTCGGGAATGGAAGGAGGAGAGCAAGAGGGTAAGGTGGTCATGTGGAAACAAGTCTATTCTGTGTGGCATATTTGACATGTGGCAACAAACAACAAGGTGTTAAATAAAGGAAGAGAATGAGAAATACGTGATAAGGGGACTGAAAGAGACGAAGAATCATCTAGTACCTCAAAAGTTTGGGGTGGGCGTCTAGTCCCGACTCCAAGAACTGCCCCCAGGCGGCTATCCGAAAACCAAGGCCTGGGGGTTCCTTACCTGGGAACAGGAGTGAGGGCGAACTGAGCCAGGGATTAAGGAGAAACCGCCGCTTCTCGATGGGGGTGGATTTCGAGGAGCACCAGGGTGAGGGAGCTCCATGCCCATGGGGAGTCCAATGGTGAAAGAATGATTCCTGAGGAATTAAATGATATTTGAGTGTATTTAAACTCGCTCTCTCTCTTCAATGTTGAGAGGGCCAACTAATCCATGCCCGATTGTCTCTAAACAGGGGAAGGAGTTAAGAAAAATAAGAAGGGAGATCAACCGTGATAACCCTTTCCCTTTTCTCCCAAACCCTAGAGACACATTATCAACACATTTTAACTTTAAAATAAAGTCTTTACGGTTCGCTAAGATTTCGAGTGATTCAACAGTTTTCCCTTTGTGGAGGCCGGGCAGAGGTTGTTGCTTACGTACACCAGGAAAGAATTTAGGTTACCTCTCTCATCAGACTAGGGTATCAGTACAAGGTATCCCCCAAAGTACCACGAGTGATCTCCAGCCCCACACACCCACCCACCTGGTTATCTTCCATCACGTACTAGCAAACAGACATTCTCTGGGTGCCTACCACGTCTCAGGTTCCGAGCTCTGCTCAGGCTGAACAATAAACAACACTGTTCTCTCCAGTGTGTGTCAATATATCGGGGGCGGGGAAGATAGAACAAGGACTGCAGCGCTTTGATAACTCACAGCTGGAAGGTGAGGACTTGGGGGTACTCAGGGCATTTCTCCTGCTTTATGGTATACCGGATCATTTCCCTAAGCAAATGAGATAGCCGTCCTGTTCCCAAGCAAGAAAGTTGATTTGATAGCTTCCTACGCACAAGGGCAAGTTCAGCTTGGAAGTTAATCCAGGGTATTAGTGGAAGATGAGTCCTCGGGTGGGGTGTAGAAGGAGGGCAGGAAATGCCTCCAGGTGGAGGGTAACTGTTCTCTAAAAGTACTTGCCCACGTGGAGGAAAGAAGCCAAAAACGACAGGTGTGACTTGGCCTCAAGCTGCTTTGGGAGATGCTAATAGGTCAAGGTCAGGGGGGAGGAACTAGTCTGTAGGACATTGCTATGGGCCTTATCTCCTCCTTTCTTCCATCTTCTTTGCTTCAAGTCAGCAGGGGTAAGTAGACATTCAGAGGTGGCTCATGTCTCCTGAGCACCCAGTATGTGCCAGGCGTTGCACGACGTCTCTGGGTTCGATTCTGCTCGCACCGTGGTACAGAGGGTAGAACCAGCAGCCCAGAGACATTCCTTCGGGTGTGGGGACTTGACACAGTCAGCAAGGGCAGGTCAGGAGCCCCGTCCTCCCATCCAAGTCCCGGAGACCAAGACAGGAACTCCGGACCGGGCTACGTGGCTTTGAGAATGTCACTGGGCCTCCCTGAGCTGACTCAGTTTCTCCACCCTTAAAAAGGGTACAGTCAGACCTCGCAGGTTTCTTCTAAGGAGCCCAGACCTTTCCCGACAAGGTGCTGGCACCAAGGAGGGCTCCGTCAGTGGCAGCCCCCGTTCTCAGCCGAGTGCGGGGCGTCCTCCCACGCGCCCCCGCCGCTCCGGCCTCGCTGGGCTCCCGGCAAGTGGCCCGCAGCGAGCGGGGAGCGCGGCCGGGCTGGAGGACCCAGGTCTCCCCGGGAGGACCCCCCTCCCTCCACACGCCCGCACAGGTGAGATTTTCAGCTCGGCCCCGGGGACAGCGACCTTCGGGGAGCTGGAGGCGGACGGCGCCGGTTCAGCCCAGGGCCGGTCCGGCGCCGGGCCCGCGGGCGGCGCGCTGCGGCTGGAAAACCCGGAGAGGTGGATCGAGCGGCCCAGCCGAGCCCCCGCGGTCCGGCCCGAGCTGGGCATGCTCAGTGCGGCCGGCGCTCCCGGGCCGTGGGGGCGAGAACGCCGGCGTCGCCTGTCACCCCCACACAGTGGCAAACTTCCCGGCGTCCCCGGGGCTCGCCCGGGCGACACCGACACCTTACAAATAAAATCTAACCCGATCCCCATCCCACGCGAATCAGGGAGGCTGCGGCCGCCGGAGGGCCGCCCCCGGCCCCTGCCCCCTAGCCGGGGACCAACAGGTAAACTGTCGGGGTGGGGGCGGGGGCGCGGGGGCGCGGCGGCCGGGGGGAGGGCGCCGGCCTGAAGGAGCCGAGACGCCCGCGGGCAGGCTGGCCCGTCGGCTCCCGGCCCCCCGCCCCCCAGTCCCAGCCCCCGGAGGGGCAGCAAAGGGTTAAGTCGGCCCCGCGCCACCGCGAGCACGGCCCCTCCAGCCGCTGCGACCGCCAGCTGCGCGGCCCGGCGCCTGCCCGGAGCCCCTCGCGCCTCGCCGTCCGCGCCCCTGCCTCCCCATCCCCTCCGGGCCTCTGCCTCTGCCCCGCCGGGTCCGCGCCCAGGTGGCGGCGTCTGCGGGGCGCGCGGCGGCGGCCGGGATCCCCGGCGAGGAGGGGGGGCGGGGGCGGGCCGCCCGCGGTCTCAGCCCGGGGCCCAGGGCCACGCTCCCCCGGGGCCGCGGAAAGTTTCCCCCCCGGCGGCCCCCCCCACCGCCTGGCCCGCGCCCGGCCGGGCGGGTCTGGGCCCCTTGGCGAGGAGCCCGGCCCCGGAGCGCTCCCCCCGGCCGGGTGTGCGCGCGGGGCTGGGGGGGAGCGTGCCCGGCGGGCGGCGCCGACCGCTGCGTTCCTCCCGCAGCGCCCGGCGAGCGCGCGCGGGGCCGCGAGGGCGCCTGTCTGCGAAGTGCTGCTCCCTGGCGCCCAGAGGCGGCGGCTCCAGCTCCCACTCATTCATTCGCCGGCGAACATGCGAGATCATGGCCGCCTTCGGGCTTCTCAGCTATGAGCAGAGACCGCTGAAACGGCCCCGGCTCGGGCCGCCGGACGTCTACCCGCAGGACCCCAAGCAGAAGGAGGTGAGGGCGCCCGCGGCCTCCGCGGCCCCCGGGGCCGCGCTCCGCAGCGCTGACCGGGGCCAGGGCGGCGCGGCGGGGGAGGGTCGGGGGCTGGCGGCGGGCGCCGGGCTGGGGCGGGGGGACCCGGCCGCGGAGGCCGCGCGGCTGTCAGGTCCGCGCTCCCCTGGGGCGCGCGCTCCCCGGCGCAGGGGCGCTCCCCGGGTCGGGGCCTTGCGCGGCGCCGCTGCCGCTCCGGCCGCCTGCTTGGCCGCAACCCTGCAGCTCGCGCTCCCCCGCGTCTGCCCGCGTCCTGCTCCTTCTCCGCTCCGGGAAATCGGCGTAAACTTTTTGGAAAATGTGGGAATGCGGTGCCTCCGACACATGTCCTGTGTTTGGCTCCAGCTGAGCGGGCCCTGGGGGCGGGGAGGGGGGATGTGAGTGTGTGTTTCGGGGGGGGGCGCTTTTCTGCTCAAAATTTCCAGTTTGCAGTGAAGTCGTTTTTATCGGGGTGGTAAGTGTTCAGTTCTTTGGGCGCACTTCTTTCTGGCTCCCCTCTCCCCGCTGAAGATCGATGTCACGGGAAACACGGATTTGTCCGTAGAGCCCATTGGCTGCCTCGCGGGTGGCTGTTTTGGAAAAGCTGTCGGGTGACCTGGGAAGGGAACTGGGTCCCGACATTGCCTCTTTCTTTGAATGAAATTAATTGGAGAGACCTTGGCTCGTGCGCTAGGTACACTGTAGTCAGTGGCCAGGGGAACCACGGCGTTTTGTAGCCACGTATTGTTTGTCACTAGTTAAAAAGTAATTATGTAACAACTCCACTTATAATGAACCACCTGGGCGATGCAATTTGCCCAGGGATTTGCCTTTTTTTTTTAAGATTTTTCTGCTACCCAGCTGTGCTTTCTGAGTTTGTCAGTTGGTGCCCACCCGTCCTCTGTTCCCTTCAGCTCAACGCGAAGTGAGCACATTTCAGAACTCTTTCTGGGAATCTGAAAACCCCGCTATTAAAAGTTTACAGGTCATTAACATCACAGGAAGGGCTTTGTAAAGAGGGCAGGGAGGGGGGTCCTTAAAACTTCCCTGTTGATGAATGTATCTCATTCAGCAATACAGAAAAAATGTTCTGGTCCAGCTGTTTTGTTAATACTCTTTCTGAAAAATAAGGGGTGACAGGTTGTTTTAGAGAGTCCGCGCACCGAACTGGGAAGGGTTCCCAGGTGGCTCTCCGCGGAGGCTCAGCGTGAGGACAGGAGTTTGATGACATCTCTCAGTCTCTTTTCTACCCATTTTCCCTCCTTGACTCAAGAGAAAGTTAATTGTGAAGGACTGGAGATAACACGGGAAGGACCAAGTGTAAAGAAGGTCAATAGCTTAAACATTAGTGGCAGGGAATTGTTAGTTCGGTTTGGGACATTGATTGGCTGACCTTTATCGTCTTGTAATTCATGTCTTGCCACGCGTTTCTAGAGGACAGCGTCATGGATAGCATCACCCCGGTTAAGGGACAGTGGCCTGTGATGCCCTGTGGCCATGGGTTCCTCAGGTCCACACTCCTTGAGGATGGGGGCCTCTGTGATTCTGGAAAAAGTAATTTGGGATTTTAGGGTCTTAACATTTTATGGAATTCTAAAACTGGGAGTGACCGTGGAGTCTACTTTTTTTTGTTTGTTTGTTTTTAATCCTCACCTGAGGACATTTTTCCATTCTTTTGTTTAGATAGAGTGGGAGGGAGAGAGAGAGAAACATCAACGTGAAAGGGACACATCGAGTGGCTGCCACCTACACGACCCAACCAGGGCCGGGGACAAACGGCAACCGAGGTACATGCCCTTAGTGGGCACCGAACCCCGGTCTCTCTGGACCGCAGGCCGACGCTCTAACCGCTGAGCCAAACTGGCCAGGGCAGAGTCTACTTTTTATAAACTTTCTTTTGACAAGTGAAACTGAGGCCCAGGGAAAGAGACGAAAGGTGTGTAGAGAATGAGCAGAGGAGACGGACCACCCAGCCAGCATTTATGTCGAGACCGATCCTGTGTTAAGGATGATTTATGCTCAATTGTGTTGTTCTGATGTTACTCCCATCCCCTCAGGGAAGCCACATTTTTTGTCCCTGGAGTGGGGTTCTGTGTGACCCGTCGGATTTGAGAACAGTATCGACAGAGAGGCTTGGCTGTTCCTGGCTTGGTGGTGTGGTGAGCAGTGATTTAGACAAGTTCAGTGGTTTAGGTGTTGCCCCAGAAATTCCACCTGATCTCCGTATCACCTGTTCTTTATTCTAATGTTTTTAAAAATTAACATCTCAGGAACTTTTCACATTTCGTGTATATACATGTTTTGTGTACGTATATATGATATATTTATGTATGATATACATATATATCAATATAAAATGTAAAATTTGTTTTATGCCTACAATTTAAAAGTTTTATTGATACCACACACACACATGATTATATGTATCAAAACAAGACCATGATATTAAAACTTTAAAGAGTTTGCCCCAACCGGTGTGGCTCCGTGGTTAGAGCATCTGCCGGCAAACTTGAGGGTCTCAGGTTGGATTTCTGGTCAAGGGCAGGTACCTGGGTTGCAGGTTCGATCCCCAGCCCCCTGGTCAGGGTGTGCTGAGGCAGCCAATCAATGTGTCTCTCTCACATCCATATTTCTTTCTATCTCTCTCTCTCTTCCTCTCTCTCTCTCCCCTTCTCCACCTCTCTCCCCCTCTTCCCCTTCTGTTCTCTTTAAAATTCAATGGAAAAAATATCCTTAGGTGAGGGTTAACAATAGCAATAAAAAAAAGGTCATCTGTGCATCTAAAACTATTGTGTGTCTGACCTTGTGGGGAATGCTGCTTAAGGGAGGAGGTGTGTGGGATTCCAAGTTGCACAGACCTGGGTATGGATTCTGGTTCAGCCCCTTTGCAGCTGTGTGGCCTGTGCCAGGGATATACCTTCTCATTTGTAAACTAGAGTAAGAACAATTTGAGAACCTGGTACTAAATTAGCATTACATTTGCGTGAGAAAAGCCCTTCTGGGAGAAGGTATTCTTATTACTTCAGCTGTAACTTATTTTTAAAAAAATATTTGTCTTTATTGATTTTAGAGAGAGAGGAAGGGAGAAGGAGAGAGAGATAGAAACATGGATGAGAGAGAGCACTGACTGGCCACCTTGTGCACGCCCCCCACTGGGGATCATCCCACAACCTGGGCATGTGCCCTGACCGGGAATCGAACCAACGACCTCTTGGTGCAGGGTCGACGCTCAGCCACTGAGCCGCACTGGCCAGGCTGTAGCTCTAACTTTTAACTATTGTTAACCAGTGCTCATAGTGTTCTGGAAAACAGCTCCCCAGAGTTAGGATGGGGCCCTTGAATGTAGACCCCTTGCGGAGGAGTTGGGGGGAGGGGAGAGCTGGGAGCTGGAGCCCGCCCATGGGTTTGCTGTACTTGCCGAGGAGTGTGCTGTGGATCTGCGCTCCGCAGGGCTTGATCGTGTTCTGTGTTCTAATACTCGGCCTCTGGACACGGAGTCGGGAAACCGGGAGCCATCCTCGACTCCTTCTCCTCCCTTACACCCCATGATCCATCTGGCAGGGCGCCTGGTCCATCGGGTCCCCACACATACCCCATTCCACTCGCTGCTCCAGTTTCACCACTGTGCTCGGCGTCCGGGCTTGTATCCGGGCTGCCGTCTGGGCAGCTGTCCGCCCGTCCGCCCCCGCCGTCCGCCCTAATCTCGCCGCAGCCTGTGGTTAGGAGGGTGGGCGCCTCCCTGGGGTCAGATCCTGGCCCTGCTGTTTGCGTGGTCCCAGCTCCCGGAGCCTGTGTCCCTGCCCGTAGGGGGTTGGGGGGGTGCCTGCTTCACAGGGCTGTGGGCAGAGCACTGGGTCGTGGTCTTGTGAAGCCCTCCGACTAGAGTCTGGCGTGAATTCAGTGCCCACCACCGGCAGGCCGGCCTCTTCTTCTCACTGAGGGTCCAGCCAGTGACCCCTGCGAGGCCCTTCTGGTGTCCTGTAGGATCTGTAAGTAGGGTCTTATTTGCATGTTGCCGCCCTCCCTGAAGGGTCCGCTTCCAGGCCTCTGGGAAGCACCTGGCGTCTCGGCTGTCAGTTCCCGAGTCGCGGAGGGCGCAGGACACTTGGAACGCACACGTGAACAGGAGAAGATCTGGGGACGGAGGGGCTTCAGGGAAAATCTAGGTTAAGGCAGAAAGTATCCTGACCTCTACCTTAAAGGCTGACCGCGAAGTAGGAGGCGTTTTCCCTGCGGCACCAGAGGCCCGCACAGCGGAATAGTAAACGTTGTCAATACATCACGTTGGAAAGAAAGTTAGCGCAGCAGTGAGATTTCCAGGCATCGGAACCGTGGAGCCCGCCGGCGGTCCGGGCCGGTGCAGAGTGTGCCTGTGGACAAGTACAGCATGACTGGGGGGGCGGGGGGGCGGGGGGGCGGCCGGGTGCGGATAACCCAGAACAACTATCGGCTTGCTAAGAGCAGGTGGCAGTAGGTCTGAGGTGGTCTCTGTGATTTGCATTTTTTGTTTTTTAAATCCTCACCCCAGGACATTTTTGCATTTATCTTGAGATAGAGCAGGAGAGAGAGAAGGAGGAAGAGGGAGAGAGAAACATCCATGTGAGTGAGACACATCGAGTGGTACGTGCCCTTAGCGGGAACCGAACCTGGGACCCTCCTGTGGGCCGACGCTCCAACCTGCTGAGCCAAACCGGCCAGGGCGTGATTTGCGTGTTTAACAAGACCCCAGGTGATCTGACACTGTGGCCTGGGGCGCACTTTGAAAATCCCGCCCCAGGGAGAAGCAGGCAGCATTAGACGGCGGCCTGGGGCTGAAGTGCAGTAGTTCGGTGGAGCGCTAACCTCAGCCAGAGTCTGCTGGGCTCCCAGAACACGGGCCCTCTTCGCTCGGATGTGGGGCGTGCGCCGGGCAGGCCGGGCCGGCCAGGCCCTCCCCAGTGGCTCTTCACTTGGAATAACGTGCAGGTGTCTCACCGGGCCCTGCTCACTCACCGGGGCCTGCAGCCAGACCACCCGGTTCCGAGTCCCGGCTCCAGCACTCAGTGTGCCTGTTTGACTCGCATCTTACCTGTGGGATGGGGTGCGGATTTGTTTGTACTTCACGGCGTTGTCGGGGAGATAGAAGGAGGTTGGAACCATGCCTGGCACACACACAGTGGTCTGTGCAGGGCAGCTACGATGAGCATGCCCCCCCCCTTGTTAAATGATCCGAGGGCTTTGCACTGTACTGACAGTAATGTCCACAGGGCCCTGCCCTTTGCTCTCTGGCCTCTGGACCTGGGTTCCTCTCTCCTCGCTGGCTCATCCCCCTCTTGGCTGAGGGGTGGGACCACTGGTCACATCTCTTCTTCCAACAGGTCTGGCTCTTTTGTGTCTAGATTCCTGTCACTTGGGGTCACTAGAGTCCTGTTTCCTGTCATTGGGCCCTTAGAGTGTCGCACCCGTTGTCCCTGTCCTTCCTTCATTATCTGGTGTTAGTATGTTTTGTAGTTCATGTCATTGCTTGAAAGTCCATTATGAGGTTGCTGACTCCCTCTATGGTCTTTTTTTTTTCTTTTGATTTTAGAGAGAGAGAAGGGAGAGGGAGAGAGAGATAGAAACATCGATGGGCAAGAACATTGACTGGCCGCCTCCTGCACGCCGCCCATTGGGGATAGGCCCACCACCTGGGCATGTGGCCTGACCGGGAATCGAACCGGCGACCTCCTGGTGCAGGGTGGCTGCTGCCGGGCTGTAGGGTCTTCTGTAACCACCTAGCACGCAGGCTGCAGGGAGCGGGGCCGCTGGGCGTGCACAGGGAGGAGCTGCCCGTGCAGTGCCGCAGGGAGGTAGTGCTCAGCGAACAGGTGGACGGAGTTACCGGAACCCAGACGCTGCTGGCCCTGAGCAGTTGCACTGATGACAGTTTGACTGTCCCGATGCACG